CACCTAAGGCATGAAAGACATTTAATACTTGCTTCTTGATTGAGCTCAAGTGATTAATTAAAGAATAAGTGTTTTAATTGAATAAAGGTGCTATAGATCATTAAGTGTTAAATAAACAAAGATGAAAGGGGTATTAGGCAGGGGAAATGCCAGATAGCTTTCATTTTTACATCAGCAAAAGTAGCATCTTTTGAGTGTAATTCTTCGTCTGTTGGATCAACGTAAGGTTCTAAGACTGGCAAACTCAAAGTAAGCCTGAAATAGATTTCTGCAAACAGCAACAGTTTGAAATAGGTCTCCAGACTAGGGCCAGAGTGAGATGCTGGTTTCAGCTCTCAAGTAGGGAATCATTACCTCCTAAAAGCCTGACAAGCAATAGAACTCTGTCCCAAATAGCTGAGACCCTTTCCAGATTAGGCACTTTATCACAGTAGTGCCCATTCATACAGTCCCTAAAGCAATAAAAAGCAATAGATAAATGTGCTTATTTATTCTGAACTCTATATCCTATAACGTTAAATTTGAAAGCTTAACATTTAACCAGCTAGCGGCACTAAAAGCTTCCTTAGCTGGATAACAATGGGCTGAAAGTTTACTAAAGTTCACTAAAAGTTTTTTGCTGGGTTTATGAAACATTTAAACTAATTTAATTTAAATGATCCAGCTGGGATCATTTAAAACAGAAACTCTCTGATCTCAATACAGGTATCTTCCACTTCATAGCCCCCTCATCACTTACATATAAAGATCTTAGTCTGCCCTGGCTCCCTTCTCCCCAAGGGGAAGAGGGTCCCCCTAACATGACCATGGGAATCTGGTGGGAAAAATTTCATAGGAACTATGTGGGGACAGAAAATGGGGAAGGGAAACTTGGGAAGAGACAGGGCGAGCTGACCCGGGGGCAGAATCCCAGGCAAAGCTGACCTGCCTACGTGCTGACCAACCAAATGACTTGGGGCCCAAAATAGCCTCCCCAGCAGGCCGGCATTTCTTTCACTCTCCGTATTATGTTGTGCTGCCTGAAATTCCACCATTTAGAGCAGTGTCTTGGCAGAGGCTGAAGTGAAAAGCTGTGAGGGGAGAAAAGGCCATCACTGGGTGCATGGGGAGGGGACATGGGGAGTAGGAGGGTGACACACAAAGACTACAATACTTATTATCTCTCAGGTGAGGGCTTTACAAAGCATTCTCCCAATTAACCCTCACAGCAACCCCATGAGGCAGGCTTAATATTATCTCTATTTTACAGATGAGGAAACTGAGGTTTAAGAGATGTTCAGTAACAACAGTTGGTTAAGTGGCAAGACTGGGATCCAACATAGTCTGATCTGAATGTGTGAACTTGGGTTTTCGCTTATTGAAATTCCCTGATTTCTTGCTCTCTGTCCTCCTCTGCAGATTAAGGGACTTGACACCCTGGGAAGAGACTCTAGCCTAATAATATTGTGAATTATATATTTCAGTTGTGTCATGATTTACATAGATTTTTGGGGGCTAGCCTAGGAACTTGATTAGCTTGATTTAAAGATTGTTTCTATAGGCAATTTTACGACTTGCTACCAAACCGGTGGAATATAATCCCATTATATTACAATATTACAACAAACTGTAGATTACCTGTAGTTACAGTTTAACAATGCTCAATGTTTCTTCTAGTTGGCTTCCAGTCACACAAAAGCCCACTTCACCAGCCCAAGGTTCTTTATGTTTAGTTTTAGTTTACTCAATTGTACCACACATCATACATTTACTAGATAATATGTTCCATGAAGGAAGGGGCTTTCGACTGTTACGTGTACCAAGGATTCTCTAGCACCTAGGACAGTGCCTGACGCATACATTTACTATTTGTTGAACGGAATACATGCTTTTAGATGGCAGATGTTTAAAACCACATGCCCTTTATGCTTCTCCTTGTGAAATACATTTAGAGCTGTCACACAGAGCTGAGATCTGGCATGTGGCTACGATTAAGTAATAAATTCAGACAACCTTGTTTTTTAGTCATTAGTTGAAGACCATCCTCCCGCGTAAAGTGTTTTCCCCTAGGTAGCAAAACTGAATGCTCTGTGCAGTGGTTTCGGGAGACTCTAGTCCCGGCTTCAGCGGACCTGCCTCTGGCCATTGTGGAACTCTAGCACTTGGACAAACTGCTTTTACCTTTCAGGCCTGAGGATCATAAGGAGTTTCAGCTCTAAAATACTATGACATCTGTGAGTTTCACCTTCTAGATTCCTCATGTCTGCTCTAACGCCCCTTGGAGAAGATACTGGCAAAAAGCAAAATAAAAGAACAAAGACAGCTGAAGGGAAAAGTCTTGGATGCCCCCAAAAGAAAATCACAAGTCCATGAGTTCAGACAAGCTCGAAGTTGTGATGGGAGGCAGGCACGGCCAACTTACTTTACAGCCAACCTCTAGGGAAGCAAGTGAGACGGTTATGACTTCTATTTGGTTAGTTCATCCTAGGAATATAATTCTGGCTGTTCCATTCACATTGGAACCAGCAGAACACATCCAACGTCATGGGTGAATGTGTCCCCTTTGAACAGAACAGAATGATGTTAGGGTGGCTTGAAAAAGTCTTTGCTCAATCACTAAGTTATAAGAAGGACCAGTATTTACTGTACTTTATATTTTCAAAGGGAACAAGTGGCTTAATGTTTTTCTACATAAGCCTTAACCAGTTGCATGGTGTACAGTGCATGATGTAAATGTCAGCACTGAGACAGGGGCGTGTTGACATGGTTGTGTTCAAAGTCTGCACACTGTCATTATTCTACCTTCCCTGCACTGACAGCTTGCTACCGAATTGAGCATACCTGGAAAGACATCGACTTGGCTTAGAATGCAGCTCAGTTTCTCTTTGGGAATATTTCTTTCTTAAGTTTCCTCTAGGATCTATTGGGTCTTCCCGTAGGTAAAATAGAATTGAATATGTTCTACTGGTCCAAATGTAAATAGAGTAGTTAGAATCTTGTCCTTTGATGACTTAGCATTAGTTTTGGAAAAGGGAAGTAATATCCCTTTCCCCATAACAAGCCCTTCTCCCGACAATCAGTAGGATAAATGCTACCTTGCTTGTTTTGTTACTGGTGGTACCTTATATGAATATGAAGTACAGATTTTCTTAGTGTATTATCAGGTCATAGTGATTCAACCTTGACTGCACATTAGACTCATTTGGGGAACCTCTAAATATCCAAATGCCATACCCTAAACCAATTAAATCAGAATCGGGGTGAGTAGTCGCTGAAGTTCTCCAGGCGATTTCAACGAGCAGGGGTCTCTTATGAGTCTCTTCTGAAAGGATGGTTAGGGCAGGGGAGTGAAGGCTAGGGGGCAAATCTTATAGTCATTAGCATGAGATTTCAATTTTAAATTGTTCTCATTGAGTTCTCAAGTAAGTATGTAACTTGTCCAAAGTCACAGTTGAAAGCAAAGCCAGAAGCAGGAGCCAGCATGAAATAATAAGCCTAGGTAGATGGGATGCTAATATGCTAAATAAATCTCCATGAATTAATCAGATCCATAATCAGGAGTCATTTTTCTTCCCTGGATGTCCTGGTTAGAGAACTATTATCTACCGCTGTGTTTCCTGGTCCTTTGGTCTAGGCTGTATGAATAAGTGAAAAGCCACTTAGCTCTCAGGGGGACTGGTATAAGGGGCATTTTAAATTTAAGTTTCTATTGGAGAACATTTATATAGACTGAGATGGAAGTTCGTAGTTGAAACTGAAGCCTTTAAAAGTAAGTTTATACTGACAGAAACGCTTAGAACAGTCACTTCAATTTCAAAGAATCAACCATGTTCTCTTTCTAACCCTAAGCCCCTCTCGAAGTCTTAATTTGCCTTAGGAAAAAAAAAATGCACTTTTTCTTTTTTGAAACTTCTGCCAGAGTATGCTTTTATTGTAATTAAGCATAAAAGAAACACATCACATTTCCTGGGTTGTAGCCTAAGGCCACAGGGTTTGGGGAACTCCTAGTATACAGCTGACTTGTGGGGCCACTTCTACTGTGCATATATAGTTCAAGTGCAAAATAGTGGGGAGGGGAGGTGGGAATGGGAGGGTGGAGTCGCCAGGGTGACATCCTGGCCACAGCTCACTATTGCCTTATTATGGGATTGTCAAATTTTCTACTTTTGTTACCTACATACCTCCCCAATGACCATTAAAACTTGTAATGTAGCATATCTTGCTTTATGCAACAGATAAACTTCTGACTAGTAGAGGGTAAATTATATCAAATCATAGCTGACATGCCCTGATAAAGTGCTGTCTAAAACATTTCTGAGAGGCAAAATCACAGATTTATTTTCTAATATGAATAACCTGTTCTTTCCTTAAGAGTTAACATTGTCATATGTGGAGTGAACTACAGCTTTCTCCTCCTAGTTCCAGCAAGCACGAGTTCCCCTAAGTCTTTTTAGAACCGGAACTTTTCCGAACAGATTCGACATTGCCCAGGTACAAGTTCTGGAAATCGAGGCCCTTCTGTTTTCTTTGACTCAGCGTCTTGCCTTTTGCAAGGGCAGGTGAGGATGTAAATGCAATTTTTTTAGAGGTCAGCACAGCGGGGCACATCCAAGCAGATAAAGGGTTTTGGGAGAAAAAAAAAACGTTATGTGTGTATGTGTGTGCACGCGTGTGTGTGCAGGATGGGGAAGCGGAGAGAAGGGGACACACTGTTTTCCTGCGGTGGTGGTGATGGTGGGAAAAATATCTGTTCATCGGAATGCTAAACGGACAGCATAAAAATTTGATACCCTTTGTGCTGGGCAAATCAGCACGTGTCATATACAGACTAGAAGTCCCGAGCCTTTGGGTAGCAGCCGGCAGCCGCGCACCAGGGGGTGGCTGCAAAGCCAGCGCGGCTCTGCCCGCGGGTCGGGGAGGCCGTGAGGCTGTCCCGGCTAGCTTGGGGTGCATGCGTGCGGCGTGTGAGGGTGTGTGGGAGTCCGCCGGCGGCCCCCCCAAGGGGAGGGAACGGTTCTTACAGTCACTGCTCAGCGCGAAGGGCGCGCGGCGGCGGCCGAGGGAGCGGTCTTCAGCGGGCGCCTCGGGAGGCCTCTTACCGGCGGGCAGCGGGAAGGCGGACGCGGTATGGAACAGCACCAGGCAGACAGCCACGACATCCCATAACTTCATCTTAGAGTCCCGTCCCGCGGCGGCACCTGCGCCCGCGAGCGAGAGAACCAGAGAACACACGTTAGAACACAAGCCCTGGGCGCGGCATCCCCGCGGGTCCTGGCGCCCCCTCTGAACTCGTCACCGCCCTCCTCCAAGGCCCCCGCAGCCCAGCGGTTCCCTGGGCATCCCCGTCCTCTCTTCCAAGTCCCCTACGCACTCCCCTCCCCAGTGCGCCCCAGAGGGAGGCTCTCTCTCTCAGTGTCCAGCTACAATTGCCTTTCTCGTTCGCCACCCGATCTCAGGGGTCGGATATTTTGATGAGAGCTGTTGTCCTCGTTGGTCCCACTAGGGCACCAGGACTCCTGACCAGTCCCTAATACTGGCTCGCAAAGCCCACCCCCAGTCCCTGGGGCGACCGGGAAGCCCCCACGCTGTGTCCTCCGCCTCAGCCAGAGACCTCCCCTCCTCGCCTGGCAGCTCCTAAAGGCTCTTAAGCGACCCACTTTTTATTTTAGAATAAAATCAAGCGCCCCTTTGCCTGGGTTCTCGATCCTACTCTCAGCCAGGCAGGAGCAGGCTCGGTGACACCCCTCACTCAACTCGCCACCGGTGCGTCATTCTTCCCACCTATTTTGTCGTCGGAACAAGAAGTTAGTAGACTTGGAGGCTTTTGGCCAGCATGGGAATATTTGCGTTAAGTTACTCTCCGAAGCATCAACGCGGTTTAAAAATACTAGTTCCACCTGTTAAAGTTATGAACGTTAAATAACGTAGGGAAAAGGCCTGGAGGAGCATAAAGCAAGGAAGCGCTCAATCAATGCTTTAGCTTGGCTCTTAGGTAGGGACTGCATTTGTCTTGAAAATTTTAATCCTTCGTGGTATACCTGAACATCTTTTGATATTTGCAGTTTTGTGAGACTCGGGCCCTGAATTACTCTTCCCCTGTCAGAGGAGTCCAGAGCTCCCCGCGCCCTCGTCACAGTCACTGCTTGACAGATTGTACCCACGTCCCAGGCGCTGCGGTGGCGGACGGGCGCTCGAATGCCTAGGCCGCGAACGCGTGCGGGTTGAGGGCTCAGCTCCTCTCAGCGAGGGGATTCCGTTTGGCTTCTCAGTCCTCACACCACTATAAGGGAGGGCCACGCGGCCGGAGGCGGGCGAGAAAAAGGCACCAACAACTCTGGGCCAAACTCCACCCAATTAGGAGGTAGGGAGGGGACCCAGGGACCTCGGGGTGCGTTGTTACCCAGTACCTTCCCAATACCAGTGTTCCAGTTTCCAAAGAAATTCTCACGTGGAAACTTCGAGATTTATGCAGATTTATTCCCTCTCCTCCAAATAAAACGGATTCTTAGGAAAATCTTGAACTTCTTCCATGGTAGAGAGGAAGGCAGTTTCCAGGTAATGCAAAAACCTGGACGCATTTCCTCTCTATTAATTCCCAGGCTATTCCTTATCCCTCCTCCCTTCCAGCAGCCGCCCCTTCTCCCCCCCATCTCCACCCAGAATAACCGCCTGGGTTCTCGTGCAGGCCACCCGGTGAAGCGTTTAATTCGGCCGCCACCTCCCACAGCTGCGGAGATGAATGCATTTTTCCATCCCTAGGGCGTCTGTTCGCTACGCAGCTGTTGGAGTTCCTAGTTGGTAGAAACTCCAGGCAACCTGCAACTTCGCGCGCCTCCTGTCGCGCTGGCTGGTTTACCACCCCGGAAAAAAGCAAAGGCTTTGAGTTGGGGCGCAGCGGCCCAGGCAACACTGCGCCTAGACCGTGCAAGATGAGCGCAGCGAGGAGCGTTAGCAGAGAGGACTGGGGGGACTCGGAGCCTCCCGCCCCCTCGCCCGGGTGCCAGCTCCTGGGTGCGTGCGAAATGGCTGGCAGCCCTGAGGAGCGAAGAGGCGCGGGGTTAATGTGCCATTCCAAATCGCAGTGCCCGCCAGCAGGAAGCGACAGAGACACCAGATTTCCCTTCCGCATTAAGAGAGTTTTCTCTTTTTTCCCTGCTTGGCCGACTGAGGGCTTTTTAAATTAGACGTGGAGATCCTCAATTAGAAGTGTGGCAAAGCCGGCAAAAGAGGAGACGGTGGAAAACTCCCCGCCTCGCCAGAGGAGGCTCCAGGTTCCCGTTCCCGCCCTCAGCCGGGTGCGGCGCAGGCCCCGAAAGAGCTCTCCTACATCCCCCGGGACGGGGAGGGAGGATTCTTTCCTGCGAGCATCGCGGGGGCCAGCTCCAGTTAGAGCGGCTCTTTAGTTCTCCGTATTTGTTGGGCGGAGGACAAAGAGGGAATCTGGAGGTTGGGCACACACAGAGGTCTACTAGGACGTTTTTCTGAGCCTATCTGGGCACCCCCCACCACCCCGCTCCACGCGGCTTTCGTGTTTGTCTCTTTATCGCCTTCTCATAACACATCTGCCCTACGTGTTTCTGCCGCCTTTAATTTCTTAACCAGCTGCCACGTGCGGTAACCAAGCTCTCGCCCTGAAGTCAGTGCGGCCAGGTGCCTGCGCAACCCTTCCTGTGCCCCACACAGGCTGTCCTTCCTCCTCCTCTGCGCCTGGCAGGGCAAAAGGGGCGCCTCGCGGGCGCTGGCGCATGGTGGTCCCCAGGCCCTGGGCGGAAAGGACGCCCAGGACAGGAGTGCCCTTCGAAGCCTCGGCTCACCGCTGCTGAGTTCCCAGCACCAGGGGGCACCAGAAACCGCCCGAGTTCCGCGGCGCCCACGCTGCGTCGTCATTTAAAGTATAAAATGGGTGAACAAGGATTCCCCCTACGATCTTCCCCAAATCAAAATACCCCCGAAACTTCTGGATGTCCTCACCAGCAACCCCTCTTTTCAGGGTCCTACTCCTCCATCCTCCCTAGATTTTCTCCTAGCACCTCACCTGAACTGTTTTCCCCGAAACCTGCATTTAGAACTCCCCCTCCCATACGCCGATTCCCCGAGTCACGGGGACAGCTTCACCGCGGGTGAGCGCTCCCGCCGCCAGTGTACCCCCCACCTTCCTGTGTCAGGCAGGCTGGGAGTTTTGTTTGGGCTTTGCCTTCAAGATCCAGATCTCAGGGAGAAAAAAAATGGGTGCTGTAACTCAGGGTTTTCCTTTGGGGTAGGGATAGAAGTTGCTAAAAGATGTATTGTCTTTCTTAACTATGACTTGTGTCCTAAATTATCAGAGGACTTATTCTTCCCTTGGGCTCAAGACTGGGGGAAGGGAAAAGAATGAGGACGCTTTCTGCACACAGTCTGGGGAGGGGTCTGTCTGTTAAAGGGCCCCAGGCCGGGTTCCAGGTTCAGGGACATTCAAACCCCTTGCGAGAGTGGGCTGGGAACGTTACGGACTAACACTTGTCACTTGTTGAAGAGGAGACACCGTCCCCCTACCCAGCCAACGCAAAGGCGTGGCGAAGCAGGGAGTGCAAGACCCGGCCGGCGCAGGGCGAAAGCCCAGCAGCTCTCACTTGGAGGGTTCGTGCGTGAGGCTGGAAGCAGCATCTTTTCCTTGTAATACTTAAGTGTAGATTCAAAATACTGAGTAAGAGTCGTGCGCGCTCTAACATATCTGCGACAGGGGCTGAAAGAATTGTATTTGTCCTCGCCAATGAGCAAAATGTTGGCAGCACCGGGTTGGGCAGCCCCCTCCCTCTTCCCCCCGCCCCAGGCCCCCCGGGCGCGCACGTCTGCTCTGCGGGCGGGTTTGCCACAGCCGAAACTAGGGAGGCGCCAGCAGGCCCGGGGGTTCCCGCGAAAAGCTATTCCCCGCCCCGATGAGGGTTCGTTTTCACCCGGTGGGACTGGAAACCAAACTGCGGAGAAATCAGCCCCAAGGTGGTGCAAGATAGTGGAGGGGCTATTATTGAGGTGGCACAGAGTACAGGAGAAAAGAGGTCATTAAAATAATCACTTCGATGGCCTGGCAGAGACCTTAGGGAGTTTCCAGAGTCTGTTCGAGGCGGAGACCCGAGTCCTGGACTGCCCAAGGAGCCCTTCTCTGAACCTCGACGGGGATGGCTAGTTGGAGTTGCGGGCGTTAGAAAAGTACAAGCGACCGAGTTCTGAAACGGGCGAGGAATGTAGCTTTGCGAGACTGCGCCCAGAGGAGGTGAGCCCTCTATTTTTAGGTTCTCAGCACCTTTGCAGCAGCCCCTCCGGGGCCTGCGCTCTCCCTCGGAGCAGACCAAAACAAGCTTAACAGTAAGTTCCACTCTCAGCAATGCTATCTATGCAGCTGCTCGTCCAGAGAGGACATACTCTGGTCGCGGTAGGTTCAAAGATGACCCCAGCCCTGCACCGTCCCGAAACTTGACAGAAGAGCGCCCCGCCGAGTCCGGGAGGGATCTAGAGGCGTCAGGCACCGGAGATCTGTGCCCACGTGGAAAGTCAACCTGCCCCTCCGCAAGGCCAACCTCTTTCTCGTTCAACTTTTCTCTCTCTCCTCTTTCCTCCCAGAGCCTCGGTTCCCTCTAGTTTTTCCTCTTTCCAATCTCACCGCCTGTTCTGGGGTCCAGCCGCGCCCCCTCTGTCTCCTGCGCCCCGCAGCCCACCGTGCTCGCCGGCGACTCAGGCGCTACCCGCCTCCACCCCGGCTCGCTTCTCCACTTACCTCGGATCCGGTCTCCGCAGACCCCCAGTTGGACATTAACTCCAGGAGCCCCAAGTCCCAGCCTGTACACCCATCCGGGCCAAGGGCAGGAGCGCTGAGCCCCGCCCCACAGGTCAGGGGCACTACAAGTTCTCAATCCTGGGGCTGTTCGGGGCTGCGAGGGCGCGCGGGAGGCGGCGGCCAAAGTTCCTGCCGCCGCCGCCGCGAGAAGGGCGAGGGAGGCCGGCAGCTCCCCCGCCGGCCCCCCGCAC